CTGGTGCAATCACTTGATTTCCAGTACCCTTATTAAACATTTGGGTTAAACTCAATTACAAACACTAATGACTTAATTAACTTTAATGTTATCAATGGTCATGGTAGGGTGTTAGTGCAACCTATATGTTGTGAGAATTGGAAAACAAGTCGTGTAGTTTTGGTGATAGAAGTTGGAAGTATAGAAATTGAAAACTTGATTGGGTTAATAAATAATCAGCTTATGTAAGTTTTTAGCACCTATAAAATATGCATTTTTTTGTTGTGGTCCTTTGATTATTTTTTCTTCTTGTGTCAATATATATATATATATATATATATATATTTTTTTTTTTTTTTTCATTTTAGTCCCTAGTCTTATTGTTTGTCTTTACAAAATTGTAAAATTTTTTTATATAATTTATATAATAAGGTTTTTTTTTTGTTTTAATCTTAGTTATTTAAGAAACATAAGGTTTGTTTTCCAATTTCTGCTAGAGTCATTACTCAACTCGGGAACACCTGACTTCAACGACTAAAATGAACAAAAATAAATAAATAATAATAGGGACTCTAACATAAAAAATAAAAAATAAAAAAAATTAAGAGGACTAAATAAAAAATAAAAAAAACAACTCTTTGAATTTGGGTTTAGCCTAATTCAACTTCAAAAATCAGCTTGTAAGATAAGAATTGCCTCCCATTTATATATATTACACTAGTCTTATCATTAGTCGATGTGAGATATAAATTTTTTTAATACACTTTCCCACGTCTAGTACTATTAGATTAGATATGTGAATAATAGGATAGACTTTGCTACCATATTAGAATGAGTTAGAGTCTAATCCTACTCCACAACACATACTTGTGAGGCGAGAGTTGTCCCTCATTTATACACATTATTTTAGCCTTATCATTAGTTGATGTAGCCATGTAGGACTTGGTTTTTTTTTTCAATAATAGTTATGTATTATTTGGACCAAAAAGTTATGTAAACCAAAATAATTTCAATTTAACCGATTGCTATGCACCTTTTCCTCGAGAATGTGGAGTTGGTTGATATGGATAATCTTAATAACATTGGTTGTGTTTATCTGAATGAGTCTTAAGTTAGTTTGTGTTCAGACTTCAGTGTGGCTACACAAAGTTATGATGGACTCTGTTGACCCATAATTTCATTTTGTGCACTAGTTGCAGACAGGCTGTATCCGCTGTGAAGATGTGTTATCCACCACTTTTGTGAAGCTCCAGCATCTACTTTGCTATACACCAAATTCTTCGTGATTGATCTGATCTGATCTTTGGGGGGTTGAGAAGCACTTTTAACCTATCAAGTTCATTATTTTGCTTCCTACAGGATCATTACTGGTATTGTAGTTTATTGTGTAGTTTAGGAGTAATTCTCTATCATGAAAAAAAGAAGCAGCATTATTCGTGGTCGTGGTAGAAGTTATTTGAATCTTGTTGTTATAATTGAATCACCTACATGAGCTAACTACACATTGTAATGAAATTATTGAATATGCCAAACTGTTGGTTATTCTTTGTATATTATTTTCCCCTTTCTCTTTCTCTGTTTTTCTTCTTTGTTCCTCTCTTTTTTGTTTCCATTATTGTCTGGCTGGGGTGAAACTTGAAAGCAGAAAGAAAAGAAAGGAAAAGAAAGAAAGGAATTGGAAATAATGAATTTTCCATTGTTTGGTTTGCAGGAAAGAAAACTTTTGTGGGTCTCACATAAAATTTTGTGGGAGAAAGTGTAAATTGACAAACATGTCCTTAAATTAATTTATATTACTAATTTTTGTTTTATTTTGTTATAAGTGATAAAATATTTTTTTTAATTTTTTATTTGATCTATTGTTTTTACTCTTTTTTTTTGTGTGTGTATAATTAAAGTATATTTTATGCCTTTTAATTTTCTTTTCACTTTGTTTTTGTTTTAAGGTATTAATGTCATTTTACAAATATATCTTTTTGTTTTTCCCCATTTTCTATTCAATCAAACAAGAAAAGAGAATGTTTATACTTGTTGGAGATTCTACCTTGATTAGAAATAAGGTTATAATAGCATATATAAGTAGAAAAAAATTTCATCTTACAAATTGGTTTCATAAAGTTGAGTTAGTCTCTAATTTATTTTTTTTTAAAATATAAAATTTTTTTTCGCTTTCTCTTCTCTATTAAACAACTATAAAATTACCTCATTTTCTTTCTTTTTAGTTTCTTTCCTTCTGCCTTCTCTCTTTCCACTTTCTTTTGTAAATCAAAATAGTGTAAAGTATAGTTAATGATCTGGATGTACATTAATGTTTATAAGAGGTGGACCAGGCTGGGATTATATAACTAGTACGTTCTAATTGTTGAACTAAATGAACAGTATAAAGTGACTCCATGTGCACAACGCATTTATCTCCATTTAGTGGGTTTTCTTTTTTCTTGCATTTTCAACCTGATGGTACTTTTCTCCTTCATTTCAAACTACCAAAAGATATGAGAAAAGAAAATGGCATTTTTCAAAAATATTTTTGCTTATTTATATAACAAAATTTAGTGAGATTTTGTCGTATTTTAAGGTAAGAATACTGGTGAAAGATTAGACAAAGGCTAACACAACTCTGCTAGTTGAGATAGCCTTAATTATCATATTTTCATCTCTTTATTTCAAACAAAAACACTGCTTGTGTCCACCAAAATAAAAAAAGAATGCTTCAACTTGGTAGTAACCTTGTTCCTATTTCAAATACACAATATCATGAACTAATGTGCTTCAATAGCAAGTCTAAGAGTTTATTTGAATATATGGTTAGAAACGTTTTTGAAAGTTTTTTTTTATAAAATAATATATATATTTTTTTTATTTTCAATAGAAATTTTTTTAAAAGCACTTTCTGTTCGTATCCAAATAGTTTCTAAAAATTTTAGAAAAACGTAGATTATTTGTGATGATTACATAGTTGCGAAGTAATTTGTAAGTTGTCACATAAATAACGTCCTTGAGGATTATGGTGATGCAACTTGACAAAACATATCTAATTGCCAAGAAGGTTGGAAGAAAATCCAAAGTTTGCTGTCACTTAAGGAAAAATGTAATGTCGAGATAATTGATCCACTTGAGATGGAACAAAATACTATTAATAATAAAATATTTTGATTAAGGGGAAAACAATTGAAATGACAATTACATGTATTTCTGAAATTATTAAACTAAATAAAATTCTTTTTTGCTTCTTTGGATTGCAAGCTGGTGCCTGCCCTCTATAAGCTATGCTTGTTTTTTCTGGCACTTTTAGTCATTGCTTTGGTGATAACATGAGTAAGAACTCCAATAGGACAAAAGAACAAGCACATAGAAACTGAATGCCTAGTCTCAATCTGATTCTCTTGTCCATCTAGAAAAACATGCCTGCATTTATGGACACAAACATGTTATTGGAAGAATAACTAAAAAATGAGAAAACAACATGAAAACAATTAGGAGGAACATTATGGAATGAATAATGTGGGAAGAAAAAAAAAGGGCAAAATAATTTGTAGTGTACACATATATGATGAAATTTGATTATAACTTACAAAATTTTTGAAAATAGTATAAGTACTCGATAATAACGTGAAATACGTATAAATATGTTATCATGTCACATGTTATCTCAAAGTACTTATTGACATGACATATCTCTAGATAAATGTTTTATCATTATTATATGACGATAAAAATCATTTTAAGATATTAAAAAGAGAATCAAAACTAATATTTTTTTTAAGAACTAAAACCAAATTTAATTATATTGGCAAGAATTTAAAATATATTGAAGTTAAAAAGAAAATAAAGGTTGCATGACCTTGCAGCAAAGAGATCAATGACCAAAAGGTGAATCCAGGCAGAGGCTAAAGTCATCTCACTGGAGAACATTTTCCCTATGCTAGTCAGCTGTACCAAGTATAAAAAGAAAATAGCACAGTAATAAATAACTGTTTTGGAAATGGAGATGGAACTTTATTGATGAATACACACCTCTGGTAGCAAGTATTTACTTGCAAAAATCAGTGCAACTGTCTCAGGGGTCCAAGAAAGGTACAATAAATATGCATATAGAACGCCAAGCACTACATATGGTACACTACTTTCCATGGACTTTTTAGTCTGCAGTTTTGAATTTCAGGAAAATGAATTAGGCACATCACATGATTACATAAATCAAAACCTATGAGCAGGAAGAATATCGCAAGTTTCAGAACTCACCAAACAAATAATTTGGTACTGTAGAACAAATTTATACAGAGGAAAAATTTTACATGAATATCAACATATAACAAATATTTTTAGACTTTAATGATCATGCAAAGATACTATAAAATAGTTTTACACCATCAACCAATCAGATATAATTGTTGGAATGACTTTTTACTTATTTATTATAAAAATCAACAACTTATTATAAATGTTAATCTGTAATTGCATGATAATGTAAAACTATTTTACATGGTCACAGTCGATGCATCCCCTGGTTACTCATATTTTTATGCATATTATATATATTTGGGAACAAGAGGGTATTGAAATGTTGTGAAGAACTGACATATTGAAGATGTTTTTCAAATATATAAAGAAACATACTAGCTCAGAATTTGGAGCTAGAACCATGAGTGTGTAAAATGGGAGCACCGCTGTTGTTCCCAATGTAAAGGCACTGCTAGCAAGTTGGGATCCTGTTAACCCTACAACATGAAGGTAGGAAAATGAATTAATATAGGAAACTTATATAGTCACTACCAGCTGTACTAAAACAAGGAATGTTCAATGAGACCAAAATAGTTAATGATAATTGAATGGCACTGTTTGCCATATAGGATAATAGACACATTCATTTACATTACATTTTTCATCAAAATAGATAAAATTGAACCATAAAACGAACTTTTGTACTCTCAACCAGAATGATTTTAGGAAATTTAGACTCTTAAATCAATTCCCTTGTGCTTGATGAGAGGATAATGAAAACAAGACAACAAAGAAGATATTCATCTTTGCAGAATCAACATGATGCAGATATATCTGGTGTTACATTCACCCTCTTCCTATATGTACTGTATTTAATGTAAAAGCTCAATTACCACACGATTGTCATTGCTTTGAGTCTGCATACAGAAGCACCTTCAATAACAGTTTTAGGTTAAGGAGATCCTACCACAAGAGGCAAGCTAACTGTTTAAATGCATCCTATCATATATCACTTCCTTTATTCAGTAACTTCTTCAAGTTATAGAGTTCAATTTACTGGTAAGATAGAACCAACAATTTTTGCATAAGAATCCAAGTATCCAAATATCTAATACTAATCTCTGAAATTTCTCACAAGCAATTGTTTATTTGGTTTAATTGCCTTTAAATCCTTATAATTTAAAACATTCAATTTTAGTTTCTATATATACTATTTTTGTTTCCTTTTATTTTCTATAGATTTATAAATTTTACATTTCAATCCCTATAACAATAAACTTCAAGGATTAAAGAACAACAAATAGTATGTAAAGGGACTAAAATGAAACATTTTCATTATATAGACTAAAAAATAAAATTTATGAAACTACAAAGATTAAAAGAATAATTAAACCTTTTTTTTTGCCTTCTATATTGCTCTGTCAATTAAACAATGAAGTAACAATCAATTGCACCAATGGTATTATATTGATAGAAATTCATAATCCAAGGATTTCATAATGTTAAATGTCAGTTGACACTAAAACGGACTTGTTTTTTTTGTACATGAAAGTGACTTCAAAGTATAGAGACCTACAACAGAACCTCCAGATTCTACTGTATAGATGTCATATAATAAAATTTTTTTTGCAAAACCAAGATGCTAAAAACATAACCTTATTATTTTGCTTAAATTAATTTGGACCAGCACTTGACATACGAATCTTGGTACGGTAAAAATGACTTTCAAAATTAGCAAATTGGAAACAAAAAGGGTTACATGAAGCATATACACGATTGGCTTTTCGAAAAGGAACCAATCTCATGGGTTTTGGTTTCACATCAACTCTTGATCCTCCAATGAAACTCCAGTCTCTGATAAAGTTGACTCTACTTCTCTGATTAAGTTGACTCTGGTTGCAGTGTCCAAGCTCAGCACCATTGCTTCTGATAGGGAAAGGAAACTTTTGCCCCTTAACTGTACCACAAGGTTTTATAGTCTGCCCCAAGTGATCAATCTATAACAAATACAACTTCAATTGTGAGCAAACCAATCGAACTCACAAATACACATGTAACATGTTATATATCCATCATAATAAATAAACTACATAAACCATCTAATTGGTTTAAAATAACAAGTTGTTGGTTAAGGTTCGAATCTTGACCTTAAATATGGAATAGACTCCATTATGAGGTGAATATTCACCTTGTAAGAAGAGATTAGTCCCAGCTTACGATAATAGATATTTTGTATCAATATTAAGGATACCCAAAAAAATAACCAGGTTGTGCTGATGATTATTGAATAACATATCAAACCAGTTCAATATGCTAGGACCACATGAACAAACCCATCTTTGCTATCTCTGACCAAATACAAAGTTGCATAGCAAGCAATGGAGAAAAAATCTTAGTTTTATGTGTGCAAGACAATTGCATGAGTCTTTAGGTATGGTGAGACACAAAGAACTAACTTCTTGACATATATAACTCTTTTATTACCAACATGTAGATCCGTTGAATGGTAAAATCCATCTCCAATATCAAAAGATGCATAAGTGCCATTTTCATTAGTGATAATATCATCATATTCATTCAAGTTTATGACTTCCAAGATTCAAACGAAAAAAGGATATGAAAATAGAAGCAATGAGAGCATATAAGACACTGGAAACTGTACCTTCAATGCTAATGGAGAATGGCAAGAGAAAGCCATGATTGAAGCAAAACCAATTGGTGGAAAGCCAATATTACATTTAGCAACAATGACTACTTCATATATAATATATTATATCATAATGCATAGTACATAAAGGTGACAACACTTTCCACTTGATGTGAGACAAAGTAGAAGGACTAATTACTAAAAATCGAAGTCGGTTTCTTTAAACAAGTTTGAGTTTTGTGGAAGTAAAAAATGTGACCGACAGAAAAATTCCTACTAAAAGTGATTATGTTGGTTATCTGATAGGGATTAATCATCATATATTTTCACATCAATAACATAGTAAAAGAAAATAAATAAATAAAAAACTGAAGGATAGAATAACATAGTAAAAAAAAGAAAAAAAAATAAAAAGCAGAAGGATAGAGAGACCCAAAAAAGAGAAGGAAAAAAGGGTTAGTGTCCACTAATTGGAAAGAATTAGAGTTGTATGGGAGACAGGTAAAGGCACATAGCACCAAAAGGTTTGCTAAATAAAAGGACAATATCAACACTCCACTTGCATCATCTTTTGTCTGTTACACACTTACACTTCTTTGTGGGTCTTATAATTCAGTTCTTTATTAGATGGTTACGTATCCTAGAGTTGACCAATGGAACAAAGTTATCTTTTAGTGGGTCTTATAATTCAGTTTACTGTTCTTTTTATTTCATTCTAAAATATGCATAATTTTAACATTTTTAAAAATTGTCTACTGTTTTAACACATTACAACACAGAAAGAAAGTTATTCATTTTCAATTTTGTTCTTCTCCCTCTATATCAATGCTCGGTAGCTACTTTTTTTTCTTCCTTTTTCTTAAGAACAAATAAAGTATTAATAACATATGCTTCCCAAAAAAAAGAAAAAGAGTAATTTAATTATGTAATCCTTTTGTTTCTTGAAGGTGTATTGGATTAGAATTTTAATAGATTTTAAAAGATTTTTTTATTATAAAAAAATCTTGTGGTATTTGATCAAGACTTTTTTTTTTTAATATAAAAAATTTATATGATATTCAATCAAGATAATCATAATTTTTTAATAGTTCGTCAAAATCTAGTGATATTCAATTAAGACAATCAGAAATTTTTTAGGAGTCCGTCAAAATTTGGTGGTATACTATCAAAAAAAATTTAGTTGAAAAAAGTTTATTGGTATTAAAAAATATAGATTTTAATTGATTATTTTGAATACCGAATTTTATGAGACTTTTTAGTATAATTTACATGTAATTATCAAACAATCTCACCAATACCTTTGAGATTTCGCATGATTTTTTTTCCATTCTATTTTTTTTTCACTTTTTTTCATCATTCTTGCTTCTTTCTTTCATTCTTTTCTCTATCTTATTCACTCTCTCTCTCTCTTATCTATCTTATTTATCTCTTCTTCTTAGTCTCATATTCTTTTTCTTCTCTTATTGTCTCTCACCTTTCTTGCTTTTCTTTCTTTTTCTTTCTTTCTTCTCTATTTGTTTTCTCCTTTTTTTTATTCATCTCTCTCATTTATCTATTTTTCTTCTCCTCCTATTTTTTTATTTATCAATTGATATATAATTCATCAATATTTTTTTTTAATTATTAAATATTTAAAATAATTTTTGTATAATTAAATATTATCTATCATTAAAATTTTGTAATTATTAAAAATTAACTATTTATTTTTAATAAAATTTAATATTGAAATATAAAATGTTGAAACATATATTAAAAAGACTTTAAAAAATGAAGTTTTCAATTAATGTCATGCATCCTTTATAAATGTGATTAAGAAGATATTTAATATTTTTAAATCACACTTCATAATTTTTAAGTAAGGGTCTCTATTTCTATTTAAAACACAAACTAAACTTGTATTAGCATATAATACTATATAACTTTCTTCACAAAGAATATCGTTACGATGAATTTTCAATTGAATTAGTGAATAAATCTTCATTTTCAATGCTACTAGTTAATGAATACTATAATTTTAAACATATTGTTCAGGCTCATATGCATGAAAGAGAATATGTCAATGCCTTGAAGAGTTAATATAACTTTAGATATGTGAAGAAATATTAATTAGGAGAACATTAAAGTCAATTATTTATCAAAAGATAGAAATAATTATTTGTCAAAAGATAGAAAAATTGTTAGTTTTACTTTTCTTTATTATTTGTTATATTTTTTTAAATTGAATCTTGTAACATTATAAATTTGTTTTTCTGTAAAATTTATAAAATCTTTTAAAATCTTATAATATAAATTTATCAAAATCTATTGAAATTCATTAAAATCTAAATACAAAGTTTTTATTAAAATTTGTTTTAAAAGCCTTTTAAAAAAATAAGTCATAATATTTCTTCAAAATCTTTTAAAATTTATTAAAATTCATAAGACCTTTTTATGCTAAAATTATCTTTTGAAACCCCAATCCAATACACCCCCTTAATATATATTTCATACTTGTATATTAAATTAGAATGATACACATCTAATTAATATGTATTTTTCTATTAGTAAATTAAGCTTTTTATGATGAAAATTAACAAAATTGTTAATATATTTTTTAAAATGACAATAAGATACTTCCTTCATATTTATCCGTGCACCACACCGTACAAGTCCATGATGTTATGTAATTATAGTAATTTATATATTGTTTTTTTATTAGTAAAAATAGTAAAAAGGGATGAAATACCCATAACCGAATAATAAGGATGTGTAAAAAATTTAAATCGATTCATAATTAAATCAATTCATAAAAAAAAAATCTAATCCATTTTGAAAAAAAAATTATGAATTGATGCATTTTATAAAACTAGTACAATTATTTGATTTATTTTGTTCGATTTAATTTAGATTTTTAAAAAAAATCAATCTATATATGAGCATAAAAATAGATAATTATACCACACTGAATTGATCCAGTTACAGAAAAATCAATCCACATTTATAAAGAATTGAATCGATCTACTTTATAAAAAATGAATCAATTAATTAATCCACTTTTATAAAATGGTTTGGTTCAGTTTGAATTTTTCAAAATCATATCTATGAACACTCCTACTGAGTAGGGAATTAATGACATATTTAAGATCTTTAGACTAAGCACTAATATACACTTTTAATGGGTAACCAAAATCACATTAACTACTCAGTTTAACTCATTACTTTACTTGTCAAACTGATTAATATATTATTTTACAACACAAAGAAAAAAGTATTTATTTTCAATTTTACTCTTCTCCCTCTACATTAATGCTTAACAACTATTTTTCTTTTCTAAATGACAAATATTACACTTTTGGTCCTCCCACTTTTCGTTAATTTGTAATTTTATTCTTTATTTTAAACACATATTTAGTCTTCTAATTTTAAAAATTATGAAATTTTAATTTCATTGTCAATTTGACATGACAGTCAAGTTTTAACATTGTTTTATGATTTGTACTTTTAAATAGCAAGATAGGGGCGAATGGATGTTTTCTTGGAGGTAATTACCCCACATAAAATTTTTACATTTTACTTATCAACTCCTATAAGTTAAATATGAACTTTTATCTTACGTGAGAGTATTTTTAGGGATTTTTCTTTAACAGTAGTGTAAAGTCCCGGCAGGTCGCTACACTTGTTACTAAATAACTACTACGTAGTGGAATACTAGACAACATACATCAGAATTAGAGTTTATAATACAGTCAGTATCTAATATCCTATATGCACCAATTATATACAAAATATAGTATTAAGCATAAAATAAACCTAATTGTCGATTAACATTTATACAAAACTCAACTACATAAGAGTAGCCTACAACAATCAAAACTAGTCACCTCTAGCGTGTCTATCCTCCAATGCACAAGCCATCCCCTAATCTTGTCCTGCTTCTATATCAAGTATGATCATTATAGTTTAAACCACATAGAAAATACAGGATATGCTTGTGAATTTTTTTTTAACATAATAGTTGATAAAAATATCATCATATTAAATAATTCAATAGACAATAGACAACATCATCATCATAGCAACTTAACATCTCATAGCATGTTCATCACATCAACGTATATACACACACATCAACTAATGCGTTGTCACGCATGTCAACTACAAAGATCTCCTATATCTTATGGTGAACAGTTTAAGTGGTTTGACCCTACTGAATCACAACAACTAGTATAATACCAATAACAATGGCAGACACTGAGGCTAGAAATAACAACTAACACAAGGCTAGAAACAATGACTAGCATAAGCTAGATTGATTTCTTAGGTTTTGCCACTTAAATAAGGAAATATGATACTATGTTAGGATAAAATAATTTAGATATGATCATACCACAACATTAGTCTACAACACTAAGCCACCAATGGGATTAGTCCACCGATTACCCTCTAAATACCACATCGCTCTGATATTACATTAGAGACTAAGTCCTCAATTCGATACTTTACTCAGTTGGTTGCTTTATACACATGTGCTTCAACCTTACCCACACACGGATATCACATAGAACTTAGAGGAGACAAATGAAAAATAACTTACCCATTCAAAGACCAACTTACCTATTGAAGGATTTTCAACCAAACTCTCAAAGCACCACAACATATATCCACATAATGAGATATTAAGTTTGAAAACATTTTTAACTCTCTTCTGGTTTCTATGCATTGTAGCTAAGATATGTATCTAACCCACATATCTATAGCTTATCAACTTAACAATTTCATCATCTTTCAACATTCAACTTATTAGCTTTAACAACATACATTTCATACAAAATTCAACTTTTAACTTTACAACATATTAACTTAAACAACGTAAACATTGTGCATCCTGGAAATATTCACAACTTTGATTAAACAATATCAGAAATTAACTTAAGCAACTAAAATAACTTACAGCTTTGCAATATACTCAACTTACTACATGTCAACACATATAACATCTTACAATACCACTTATATAACTTATTCATCGTTCATCAATTGCAAAACAACTTTAAGAGTCATTTTTCCATCATATAATTCACGTTTGACACCACTCAATGGGCACCCAATGCCATTGAGGCAGCGATCTCCTTGTCTTACTCATGCCCGACATCACACTATTCATGCCCGACATCACACTATTCACGCCCGACATGATTAAGGTAGAGAGTGCCC